TGGGGACAGAACAAAGTGGCCATTGTAGATAGGTTGAAACAAGAGTGAACGTATGGACTCTCCACCAAAAAAAGTGGCTGTTGTAGAGAGGGGGCCGTTAATGGAGATTCGACTGTACTTCTAATCTTTGTGTTAAAAGCACACAACATATTTTCTTTGAAAGAAAATATATTCTCATAGTTGTACAGCTGCAGTCAGACGTGCTTTTTTCACTGTTTGCTTACAAACATTTTGTTGACTAGATCCATCAGGGTTTGGCACCTTTGTTTTATACGTTAGCCCTTGCTATTTATTTACAATTTTCTGTGTTTACACTGTTTTGTGCAGAAAACTAAAAGAATGGCGATGAAAATTTGACAAAATTTTCTCAGGATTGATAGAAATAAACGCAATGCCGGTGATTTCGGAATGTCTAATTTTGTAAATTTTCCGGGGGAGCCTAGATAAGCGCCGATTCGCCATTCGTTGAACTCGAGCTATGCGTGAGGTAGCCTTACAAATAAAGATCAATAAAAATTGTGCTCCGCAGTCCCTGGGTCCATCTTAAAGCTAACTGAGAAGAAAGGTTGCTCCTACGTAATGATCAACAACGTATGCCGGACTACTATATTTATTTTTCAAACTTGATCACTGAATAAGCTCATAATATAATAATAATAATAATGATAATGATAATAAAAACAACAACAGCAATAGCAACTGACAACATTATCCAGCACTCTTTGCTGTTACAAAACTTTAAATCTTCCGCACCAAACTCTTTTTGATCAATATACCCTTGAGTTATCCAAAACACTGTCCAAAGGAAGAGCAAGCGGTGAGTCAATAATTTTGGTCATGAATTCTCCGATTGGAGTGCTGTAGCGGTTCATGTTTTGAGAAGACCGCTTATCATCGCTGAAAATGTATTGATTTGTTAGTTATAACTTCCAACAACACTCGTATTAAAAAAAAAAGAGCTGCAGTCACTCATAAATAGCCAACGGAGGTCACTGTGGGGCAAAAACAAAAACAACAACAAAAAAACTGTTCGCAGAATGAAGCAGTCGGAAAAAATAGTTTGCACAGACAAAGACACAGAAATAAATTGTTTGTGCCCCAAAATTTCATCACCCAGTCCAAAAAATACTTATTCGTCCCTTATCTGAAGTTTCACATTACTGTACATCAGCGAATGGTCAGTGTCACAGTCAGCGCTGTGAGGGCTGTGTATAAGCTTATCCTTGATGTATCAGTGATAGGATAGTTCGCCTTGTTAGGATGTAGTCGAGCTGATGCCAATGTTTTGGGTAAGGGAAATCAAGTATTTACTTTTTTTATGGAATCACTATCCGAGTAAAAATGAAGCCAGAGAGGTTAACGTGTCTCTGTTATGTGTATGCATGCGTCTTTCCGGCCTTAAGAGTATTTTATTTACCTTTTTATGAGTACTCTGTGATAATTGTCAACTACACTACCACATACAATCTTTTTCGGCGATATTATTAGTAGTACAGTAGGGATAAAATTTGGCCCCTTTTTGCGAAGAAATATCATTAACTTGCGGAGGAGTACATCAACGCCGATGACGTCATAGCCTGTTGTTTTTATCGCATGGATAAGATGACGTTATGCACTATTTTTAAGTGGCTTAACCCGTTGGATGCCACTTTTGAAGGGCAGGCTATTTAAGAGGGGTGGGCAGTGAGGTTTATCTTATCTTGTTGAGTCACAGCAGGAGCTCCTGGATACAGGGAGTCCGTACAATCTGTGCAAGAGCAGAGCAGAGTTATTGTTTTTTAAAGTAAATAATATTAGTATAGCAATGTATATTAAAATGTAAGCACAGTTCCGTGACCGCTATTGCCGCACTCATGCGCAGTGCCCTAAAGTAAATGGCACGCATGCAACACGAAGAAGGATTCTAACACCTCATCGATATGGTTGTGCTCTTTCGGGTTGCTCTTTCAGGTTGAATTCATAATTTTTTAGGATAAAGTCGCCTAAAATCGTGAATAAAGCTGAAGAAAACGCCTGAAGAGAAGGTCTTTATACAATACAAGCGAATGACGGATATCGTGCTTGCTTGGTGTTTTTTACTCGATATTTCAGTTTCTGTCATCAGACTAGAAGGGATTCTGCGGTATGATTGTTTCATAGGAACCCAACAAATATATTCTGTAAAACATCTTTTCGAAATGCAAATATTGACTAGAAATGTTTTTAGCTAAAAGAAGGGTAAAAATTACAAGATGATTTATTCTACTCATCACATACTTTTGAAAGTATTTCTATTAACCTCCCCTAAACTATTTTCGGAAGTTGGGTTTCATTTTTGAGATCATTGGAAAGTGCTCGTTAGAAAGGACTAGTCACCTTGAAATTTTAGTTTCGAGAACAGTGTCGGAAAGAATTCCTCCTTTCGTAAAACTTTAAATAACAATCGCCATTAGGGTTTTCGCATTTGAAATGGAAGAACCCAATAGATTTAAATTTAAACTTGCCCTATGATCACCGAACA